GAAACAATAGACTTCGTTTCCTGTGACATTGTACGAGAAAGGAAAAAAACAACAACTTTATGAGCTCAGCTTGAATTTGGATGTACAGAAACTAATGTATCTGTTATAAATGTTGTAACATTTTCAACAGAAATGTTTCTGTTGTTGAAATACACATTTTTGTTGAAGTTGACCCGTTTTTACAGTTTGCTGTTTTACAATTTCAGAGTTCTGCAGTTCAGTTTTACGTGTACAAAGACTGCAGTGAAGTTTTCATCAGAAAGCTCTCTAAAGACCTGAATGGACTCAGCCTTTTCAAAAGATAAGAGAGAGAAAAATCAGATTGAAAATCTAGGTACATATTCATCCTACACATTTATGCTTCAAATTCACTTCTTCTTTGATTTGATGGTATAAGTACCCATGGGATGACTAAATTTCCAAATTAAGCACCACAGTTGCTCCTGATGTTGGATAGGATGACTGTAGGCTTTTTTTTTTTTTTTTATCTGAAAATACTTTTATTCTTCGTCTTTGAAAACACCCTATAGGTTTTGTTGGTTTAATTCCAACAAAACATGAAGTATATATCCTCCCAAATTGCCCAAATTGGAATAGTTTCACATGGACTACATGTTTTGTCCTTCAAGCACAGGAAGAAAGAGGGGGGGAAAGAACAAGGAATTGCTGTGCTTTCTTGAATCTGAAAAGCAAGACAGTTTACTGTGCTCCTAAGAATGTCTTGCATAAAGGGAAAGTCAATAGTTTCTCTCACAGAAACAGTTGCAATCAAATGAAAGATGGCAATAAGCCCTAAAGATGATGGATGAAGTCAAGTGAAGACCATGAGGAAATTCAAGTGAATATCAAAGAAAATCATGCTTGAAACAGAACTGTTTGTTGACTAATGTTTCATTAATTTTATATTTTGGGGAGAGCAGGGAGCTAATGTAATTTCATTTTAGTGTCAGCCTCTTGCATGCAAAGTAAAATTACATGCTGTAATTTTTCCTCCTATAATTGCTGTCTTGCCATTCTGAAAGGGAGAGTAGCAAGTGCATCTATGAAAAGTGTTTCTAGATGGTGTTTTGGTATTAGCTGGTAGAGATCTCTGAGGGTTTCGCAACTGAGCCTTTAGTGATAAAGCTGAGGGAAGGATGCCTGTGCCATAGCAGCACTTTAATAATGAACAAACCTAGAACTGAACAATTCACTGAGCTAGCTGGAGATCTCTGGGAATATCTCAGCTTCGCTTTATTGCATTTAACATGCTCCTGACTGTTGGTAAGATGAAACCCTTAATATTTGTTTTGGCGGACTTTATGTTTATTCATTTAACATATTTATGTCATCATTCATAACAAATGTATCATATACTAAGTACCTGCACCAATATTGCTTTCTAATTAGCATAATAAGGAGGGAGACAACCTGCTACTACTGCCTCTCAAGTATGCTATGCTATCAACAGAGCTCTCAAAAATAGTCCATACTTGCTCTGCTTAATGAGTGCTTCTTACTGACTGGACTTGCCAGCCTACAGCATTGTAAGGAATCAGGGAACACAGACTCTTGCCAATCTGCAAACAGTGGGACCATTTTGTCAGCTAAAACATAAAGAAACTGTTGCATGGCTGTTACCACAACAATCAAAAGTTGTTTGCATTTTAAATACATTTTAACATGTTTGCTAGTGTGCTTCATTATGCCGGGTCATATTAAGCTACTGAACAAAAGGAACACTGTCTGTACTGTAACACTGGAAACATCATTTTTAAACTAAACTGGGCATCAACTATCCTTCTAATAGACCTTGTTCACAAGAATTTAGTGGTTATCAGAACTGAAAAATATTCCACAAATCTCACTGATATCTACAGAATCTCCAAGCTTTAAAAAAGGTAAAAGAAGTGTATGCTAAAATGAATAATCCTAGAAGCCAAAGAGACAAAACACTACAAATGGATGCATAAAATACATAATAGGCTACATTTTACTGCTGAGATGTAGGGAGGAGCATTCATGTGACTATTCCACAGAACCCTTGGAAAGTAAAGAGCACAGACTTAATAAAAACTACAAAAGAAAACAAGACAGACACACTGGAGTTGCACACTGCAAAACCAATTTATCCCATTTATTGTCTCATTTTGTACTTGTAGAAATGAGAATATTAAGATAATCTACATACGAAAATCAAGCGGCTTATGTCTAATATCTTTGTGTAAAATCCAGAAGCTGACAGCACTCCAGTTATTTGCATTAGGTGAACTGTTTCAGTGTCCTCTGGAAAGCATATTCCTATATACTTTCTGTATACTTTTACCTATTTACTTTTCCTATATACTTACTGCCCTATAACTAGAAGGATGATTAAGTTGTGGCCCTTTGAATCTTATTTAAACATAATTGTCCTTCTATAACTTTTCTTCAGTCAAATTTGCAATTATAGTAGAGGAGGAAATAAAAACAGATTCAAATGTTGTCATGTGGGATGCTGCTGAAGAACTCCAGCTTTCAAGAAGTTTCCAGGTGACAAGGAATACAAGTATATTTTAACTATCACTGGCCAAAAAAAAATCTTGTTGCCATAAGCAAATCAAAGATAGAAGCCACATAAAAGGAGCGGGAGAGCCCACATCTGAAACTGGGAGTAAAGAGATTCTGTGAATTAAAATGCTTAAAAGTCTCACAGGTTCAAAACCTTAGAAGTGTCTTAGAATCATCAGAATTTCACTGTGTTTTCTATTGCTGCATTGATTGTGCTATAATTTGTGCTTGAGAAGAGTTACGATGTTACTCATATAAGAGGTATATATTGGGCAGTACTGGAGAAATTATCTTGCCTGATGGATCTCAATAGAAGTGAAAGACAAGTTCAGTCTTCTTCAATGCAGAGCTTGACATACACTTATTGGCCTGATGGGCTGTTGACAGTGCAACACAATGTGGTTAGAGCTCTCAAGTGCCATACATAACTCTTTTTTACAGCCTACTCTAGGTACTGAATAACCACGGAGCATCATCTGTCATACGTACCAAGTGCATGTTGGGATTCATCTGGACAAGCGTTTAGTTTGTTTAGGTTATTTAAGGAGTCAACGACATAAAGTTTTCCTTCTTCATCAGTATTGGGGAGGTTAATTTCCAAAGAAGGCCTCTCCATTGTGTCTAAAATAATAATAAAAAGCTAAGTTAAAAAAATGGGTAAGTGAAATAACTATTAAGTAGCTGTCCTGAGCTGCAAAAGTTCTGAGCAGCTTTAGTAACCCCTAAAATAAAGGGATTTGAAGGACCAGTACACTTGAAGAGAAGGGTAACACAGTATGTAGCATTTGTTGTTTATTCTTGGACATCTTTAATGAGTATAAAATTTCGTTCTGTGTTGTATTTGTGCACATGTAAATGCACATATAGATGTGCATATATGTATGATTATTTACATATATTTGTATACATGTGTATACATACGTATATATACACATGTAGAAAGAGAATATTTCACTAGCAGTAATTTGAACATTAGTTATTGAGTTGTCTAAATAACCCTTTTAGTTTGGGGAGTACTTGGTAAGATGAAGAGTGATACCCTGACCACAGTGAAGGCCAAACCTTCGCTAAGAGCAGCAGGAAGGATGTCACTCGGGTCCTGTGCTGTCAGCATCAAACAATTCGGAGAGGAGACGACCAGAATGCCGGCATGGATGTAGGAGACAAGGAGCAGGAATATGAGTCTGCTTATGCACCTTGGAATGTCACTGTGAAGTTATTTGTGAATAATGGGGCAAAAAATAATCTTCTAGTGTAGTTCTGCTTCATATAGATGCTAGTTATGGATAAATTAAAGCTTGATGGTAAAGACTTTTCTTCAGGCTATTACTCCTTCCCTTAAGAAAAGTATTAGGTAGGGCCCAACCAGCTTCTCTGCAAAGTCTGTGTGCATGAACTGAATGAATGATTGCGTAAATAAATACAATTATGAAGATTATAGAGAGAGAATAAGCAATACCTAAGCAGTCTCCTCTGTGTGTTGAAGCACAGTTCTAACCACAGGAAGATGCAGTTGTTCTAACCAGGCATCTTAGACTACACTAGGCACTGAAAACTCCCTTGATAGTTACTGAAGAAAAATATGTACCTCCAGGAAATATTCCTCTTACACTTACATAGGTCTTCTCAGACTTTAGAATTGAAGTCTAAGGGTGCCTTTTCCTTGCCAGCAAATGTAAAGGCAGAGCTCACAGAGGTTAGTTTAGACTTGAGGTGAGATGCACCTAGCACATTTGGTATTTATTAAATCTCTCAAGTTCAATTTTACCTGCCAAACAGAACTCAGCACTTTATGGGATGCAAGCCTCCTGTTGGTGGAAGACGATAAGCATCTGAGGGTGATTTCTGAATCCCAGACAGGTGGAGTTGCCCTCTTGACATGTCTCTCCTTCCCTCTCTACCTCAGTAGGTAGAGAATGCAGTGTGATTGGATTCCTAACTCAGCACTTCAGTTAAGAACTAAATAAAAATTGCAAGTTTGAGGAATATAGGCATACATGTTTACAGAAAGCACCCATTCTTTCCTTATCAAACCAGATGGAGGAGATTGCTGTATCTGAGCAAACAGCCAAGTAAATATTCACTGAGTCTTAGTAAGACTGAAGGCTAAGAGCTTATTTTACTCCTGATAATGGGACTAGTTTTCATATTGGAGATTGACAGACCTACATGTATAGTGTTATACTTAAGAGAAGATTACAGCTTAGTGTTTCTCTGTTCAACATTATTGCTGAAAAATATAAAAACAAGTTAGAAAATCGATCGTAGTAGTGGTGGCCCTGAGGCAGGGCCTGGTTTTCAGGTATATGGCAGTCATTTCAGGACAGAGCTGCACCTCCTTGCATTCCCGGGAATGTCACAAATCTCACAGGGTGCGAGACCACAGCGCTGGCTAGCTGCAGTGCCCCCGTGTTCCCTCTGCTATCTCCCCACAGGCACATCCATGACCGCAGGCATTACAGAGCCCTGCGCTGCCACAGCGTGATAAAAGCTACCCCTCGTGCACAGACGCCTGGGTTATTTTTAGCTTCCGAAGAGCAGTTGTTTCTCTCGGGTATTCTGGTTAGTACCTCCCTGCAACTTCAGGGAAGACTCTTCTGAACAGCTTGGGCTGTAATAAATGTGAGTATCTTTCATTCATTACTACGAACTGAATTTTACATTTCTGATTTCATTGTTATTTAAAACCACTAAGCAATGTAACTGCAGTGAAGAAAATCCATATTAAGTCAACAAGGAATTACAATTATTTTTTTCCCCACTGACATCATGAACAAAGGTGAGAGGATACATCAGCATTGCTGGCCAAAAGCACTGATTAGTTGTCCAACAAACTAATCTGAACATTATTTTGTTTTTGGTGGTGGTAGTGGTTTTTTGAATCACTCTTTCTTGGACTTTAACCTTGTTTAAAGACTTTTTTTCCCCATTTGACTTCTAAATTCCTCCTTAGACTCTTGTAAAGTTAGAACTTCGTGTGACGATGCTGAACTTCTTACCAGAAAAATAAATAAATAAAATAAATCTAAAAGGAATTAACAAACAGGAGAACAAAACATTACTTACAACATAGCCACGTTCAGGTAATATGCCAGTGTGGAAGAAATCAGCCAGTGCCAATCACCAGAACAAAACTCGTGCTGCTGTTCCCCTCTGCTTTTAGACCCATCGGAGCCCGTCCACTCCTGCAGGACCCACGAAGGCAGCTGTGAAACAGGCTGGCCCTTTCAGTCTATATTTAGTATCCATCTCGGCCAAGTATACTGACTCCACAATATTGACCTGTTTAAAAAGAGTTCGGCACACACACGGCTCAGTCTTTATTACTCTGTTGGAATTATTATAATATCCCGTAAGAGAAAATTGGAAGATTTGTTACTGGTGGTCAATATTTCACTAACCCCTTAGTTTATGATGTCTTTTTAAGGATAGTTTACTATGCAGCAGAGTCATAGTTACAGTGCTGTAGTTATGAGCAACCGGTTTGCTATGCAGCAGAGTCATTTCTATAGTATTGCAGTTATGAGGACTTTAAAGGCATAGACTAGAAAACCAGAGTGTTTTCCTCCTCCCACACACCTTGTAATTTCAAGTGAGACTGCATTAAGGCATGGACTAATTTGTACAGCATCCAGGAAATAAGTCCTGAGCTGTTTGTGGTAACTGTTCCTTCACAGATAGTTCTTTACTTTTTTAATTGCTAATGTCACAGAACATGGAGTTACAGCACACAGATGACAGGCAGTTAATGCTAACAGGGACCACACGTGAAAACAGTCAGTCCTTTCTGACTTCTTAAATGCCGAACTGCCTTAAACTGACAGTGGATATATTTTTCTTTCAGGTAACACGAGGTGACATTTACCAACAGACTTTCCTACCCCACGCTGAGAACCTTTGAAGCTGCCCAGCCTTAGAAGTTGGGGCAGTAACGCAAAGCAAATCTCACTTCTGTCCCTGAAGGATTCCCAGCACCACTGTAATTGCAAGACCCAGACCTCCCCTCTTCTAAGCTCGCAAAGGTCTATAAAGACAACCAGCTCTCAGTCGGGCAGCAAAACGGCCCCCTCTCACCTCCTTCCCTCTGACAGCCTTGGAAGCCGTCCTAGTCTCTGTGGCTGGCACCTCCAGCGTACTGGGGGAAAGGGGAACCACGTGCCTGGCCCTTGGCCGAGAGGTGCTGCAGAAAGCGATTCTGCAAATCCCAGGGAGCACGGGAAGCTACCACAGAGCCGCTTTGTGCTACCAGAGCACACCAGAGGTGACCACCCAGCATCCAGAGAGAGCAGACAGCTCAAAGGGGGCAGGGTCTGCTGCATCTAGTCCAGAGATCAGGGGCTTCTGACTCATGTATTTAAAGATCTGCTCCTTCAGAAGTGGAAGTTCTCTGTGTAAGTTCTGTTTTCTCATAAACCCTCACTCTCCCACCACAGCAAGCCATTTTTATTGGCACATCTCAGTCCTATAAGAAGGGAAACTGAGGGCACAGGAGTGGCTTTCAACGTGATAAAACAGGGCAGCTAGATTGTCTCCTGTCAAATAAAATACTTTGCAGCACAAAACATGGGGAAAAAATTGACCTGTAGTCCACAGATTTCAGACTATTACTAAAAATTACTAAAAGCATGCACTAAAAGGTGTAATGAGCTGAGTACAATTTTTACGTATACATGAACATTTTCCCCTCCAGTTTTCAGAGTGCAACATTTTTCATCATACTCTTAGATCAGGATTGTGATTCTAACCATGGTTCCTAGTGCAGAGAACTCTTCCAGAGAAGAGAGAAGCAAACCAGTCCTGACTGCTTTGAATGAGACGGAGAGCGCAAACAAATGCAAATGAATAGAATAAACCTGTGGGAATGTTTTCCAAGAATTGTCATAGTCCAAAAGCTTTAAATTGGTTTAATCCCTGAAAGTTAATTAGCGTAAACTCAGGTTGCATCACTGAATTTGAAGTAGTAGGATAGACTTGCACCATTGCAGAGCCTCAGTCATGGACTAAATTGGCATTGCCTCTAACTCTATACAAGAACGGAAGAGAAAAGCACTCCTTTCTACTTTGTCAGCTACTGACAAACCTAGAGAGAGAGAGAGAAAAAAAAAAAAAAAAGCTGTTAATTAAAAAATAATGTTGTTTTAATGCATTTCACCAAATATATAATATTTGGTAGTAACCACACAACAAATGAAAGGGAAGAGGAAAGAATAGAAGGTACTTGTATGGCCTTAATTTACGTGGCAATTGACAACAAGGACAGCCTGCACTGATTTCTAAGCACCTTACACCATTCACCCTTGAGACAGAAAAATGGGATTCCCATATGATGCAAGGGGAGTGCAATCCCTCTCAAAATACAAGTCTGGGGTACGCTACTGAGTATTAAAAAAGTTAAGACTAGGCAGCACTGAACTCAACAGAGAAGGGAGGCCGAGTCTCTCTGCCTGTTCACGTAACAGAAAAGAAACTCAGATTTTAGCCCTCTGCAATGATTCATAGGGACAGGCGAGAAACTAGTTCTTTTTAAGCCAGGGACAATTTCAGCATCTAGAAAGCTAAAGAACTGGTCGACAGCTCCATAGAATCGTGGGCACCCAGGTGGATCCCCTGAGGGGGGAGGTGGCAGTCCAGACAGGTGATTGCAGGGAACTCCAGCATCTGGAGGCCCATCTGGGCCATGAGGGAGGAGAGCGCTGTCACGGGTGCAGGTGTGCCCTGCTTCAGGGATGTCTCGAGCAGGTGGCTGTGCTGCAGCGAGAAATCGGCAACCTGAGGGAGATTCTGAGGGTGACAGATAGGAGGGGTCTCCCTGCCCCTGCTGCTGTCAGCAGCCCTCTCCTATGTCCCGACAAGGGGTAGAGGCTGCCCCTGTTGAACACATGCGGAACAGAGGGCCAGACTGTCCGCAAGAGGCAAGGGGCTGGACCCTTGTCTCGGCTCAGAGCAGAAAGAGATGTCTGCCCCCAACACCCACGGTGCCACCTACCCCCACAGTGTCCCTTGGAAATAGATTTGAGGCTCTCAGGGAGATTGCGGAAGAGGCTGAGGGTCTGGACAGTAGTCTGAACACAGGAAGCAACCCCAAGAAGAGAGTCAAGATTGGGGGAAGCACAGAACATAAGGATCAGGGCCAGATGGAGCACTGCATTGTAACCAGTGCCACAAAAAAAGAGCGGAGAGTCCTGGTGACTGGGGACTCCTTGCTGAGGGGCACTGAGGCTCCTATCTGCCACCCAAATAACCTAGCCAGAGAAGTGTGCTGTTTTCCTGGGGCACGTGTCAGAGACATTAGGAAGGCTCTGCCATGACTCATTAAACCAGAGGACTGCTATCCTCTCGTAATCATTCATGTTGGATCCCAGGAAGCCGCTATTAGAAAAAGGAAAAGCATTAAAACAGACTTTGCATCCCTGGGGAGGATATTGAGGGGATTGGGGGTGCAGGTAGTGGTCTCCTCTGTCCTCCTGCTGGGTGACTGGGATGCAGATAGAAGGAGCAGAACAGGACAGGTCAATGACTGGCTGAGGGGGTGGTGTCTGGACCAGGGATTTGGGTATTTTGATCTTGGGCTGTCCTTTGAGAGGCCGGGTATGTGGGCTACAGACAGACACCAACTGAGCAAGTGGGGCACAAGTGCGTTGGGGAGCAAGCTCTCTGGGCTGATTACCAGGGCTTTAAGCTAGGCACACAAATCCATGGGTCCCAATAGGATGCATCTGCATGTGCTAAGGGAGCTGGTAGATGCAATCGCCAAACTGCTCTCTATTATCTTTGAAAGGTCCTGGAGAACAGGTGAGGTGTCTGAAAACTGGAAGATAGCCAATGCCACTCTGGTCTTCAAGAACAGCAGGAAGGAGGATCCGGGAAACTACAGGCCATTCAGTCTCACTTCTGTCCCTGGAAAGGTATTGGAGCAGCTTGTTCTGGATGCTGGGGACCGGGACTGAAAACACGTGACCCTACCTCCAAAACTATTAACCATTCACGCTTTTTCCTCAGGGTGCCCGTTTATGGATGCGTGAGGGGAAGATGGCCAACAATGATTTCTTTCTTTCAAATTATCTCCCTGAAACTGTAACTGTAACTTCTAGTAGTGTAAAGGCTTTTGACTTGTGTATTGTGAAAACAGCATTCCTTTTACGAACAGCACGTTCTCACAATTAACACTTCGCAAAAGTAGTGATAACACCACCAGTATCTACCCAAATCTGTTTCTTCTTACCACAAAGCAAGGTCTGAATTCACAGTAAAGCACCTTTTACATAGGTTGTTCAATCTTCAGAAATACTTAAAAACCTTCTTCAAAGTGAGCCTTACCTGCATGCACTTGAGCTTCAGAGGTTGGTTTTCTATTTTTATTTTTTTTAATAATTAAGTTTTAGGGCTGGGAAGTAAGCTTAGAATCCGTGTAAGTAGCTTCACTGAAAGCAGACAAGGTGAAGGAAGTACTCAAACTCCCCAACATGAAACAACTGTAGAACCCAGGAACACTTACCTGCCAGCCTCTGAACTTGAGTCACTGCCAAACTACTTCACAAGGAAGTAGCACCACCAGGGTTTTATTGTACTGAGAAGGCACCACCAACGTAACTAGCTCATAGAGCCTCTAAAACTATTTCACAGAGAGGGCAGAAAACATGAAGGAAAAGCAGCCTACTGGGAAACACTTAAGTCCATTTCACCATGACAGTAGAAAAACACCCTAGGTATCCTGAGCCTCAAACTCCCCCAGGGCGGCAATTTCTCCGATCAGTCCTCAGGCTTCCTATATAGCAAAGGTCAAATGATCCCCACCTGGCAGATTTCAATTCACAAGCGTGGAGCTAAGAGACCTTGTGGAATAAGCTCATCTACCTGGCTTCAAAGTTTTAAGGTCAATTGCTCCTTATCACTAAGAGAAATAACCTGACAAGGGGCTTAGTGGTTAGAGTTGACCTAATGAATTAATTACAAAAGGTGCACAAGGGTCATATTTCTGTTAGTCATTCTGTGAGGAAAATTAGAGCCTGTTAAAATAAGATAAATAAACATAAATTAAAGAAATAAATAAAAGAAAAAAGAAAATGACCTTAAAGGCAAAATTGCTGTCATAGATTTTCGTCTGTCTAGTCACGACAGATAAAGAATATAGCAATCAGAATGACTTTTCTTGACATTACTGTTATTTAAATTTGCTTTTCTGAGATCTCTTCTTTATGCAGGACTTTTCAAAATCTAGCGCCATGACCTCTGACTACAGTATCTACTTTGGCTGCATATAAACTGTCACGTATAAATGCCAGGATCTGGATCCTCACTCCCTGTTCAGGTCAAGGACCGGGCTGAAAGTTTTGGCTTTAATTTGGTTACATGACTACATTGCTGTTGTGGTTTCCCCTGGCCGGCAGCTAAGCACCACACAGCTGTTCACTCAGCCTCCCCCCTCCCTCTCTTGGATGGGGGAGAGAAATAGGAAAATGAAGCCTGTGAGTCGAGACAGAGACAGTTTATTAAGACAGGAAAACAAAATAATAATAATAACGATAATAGTACTGCTACTAATGCGTACGGAATATGTGATGCACAATGCAATTGCTCACCACCCATTGACCAACGCCCCCTCCCATCCCAGCTAGCCACCCCTATCTATTGTTTAGCATGATGCCAGAGGGTATGGAATACCCCTTTGGCCAGTTTGGGTCAGCTGTCCTGGGTCTGTCCCCTCCCAGCTCCTGCTGCACCCCCAGCCTGCCCATTGGCAGGATGGAGCGAGAAGCTGAGAAGTCCTTGGCTTAGTGTAAGCACTGCTCTGCAACAATTAAAACATCAGTGTGGTATCAACACTCTTTTCATCATAATCCACAGCATAGCACCCTACCAGCTCCTAGGAGGAAAATTAGCTCTATTCCAGCTGAAACCAGGACAGCTGTTTTCTGGCAGGTCATGGGAAGAAGATTGGCTGGCTTGGGGGAGCTTCTGTACACATGGCTTTTAGGCTGCAGCCAAAGTGTTCCTCTAGATCTGGAAGTTTGAAGATGGTTGAGTGGTTAGAAAGCTGCCTCGCAGAGAAGGACCTGGGATTATTGGTCAATAGTCAGCTGAATATGAGCCAGCAGTGTGCTCAGGTGGCCAAGAAGGCCAACAGCATCCTGGCTTGTATAAGCAGCAGCGTGGCCAGCAGGGCTAGGGAAGTGACCATCCCCCTGTACTTGGCTCTGGTGAGGCCGCACCTCGAGTACTGTGTTCAGTTTTGGGCCCCTCACTACAGGACATGGAGGTGCTCAAGCAAGTCCAGAGAAGGGTGACAAAGCTGGTGAGGGGCCTGGAGAACAAGTCCTATGAGGAGCGGCTGAGGGAGCTGGGCTTGTTCAGCCTGGAGAAAAGGAGGCTCAGGGGTGACCTTATCACACTCTATAGATACCTTAAAGGAGGCTGTAGCGAGGTGGAGGTTGGTCTGTTCTCCCACGTGCCTGGTGACAGGACGAGGGGGAATGGGCTAAAGTTGTGCCAGGGGTGTTTTAGGTTGGATCTTATGAAGAACTTCTTTACTGGTTGTGAGGCATTGGAACTGGCTGCCCAGGGAAGTGGTGGAGTCACCATCCCTGGAGGTCTTTAAAAGACGTTTAGATGTAGAGCTCAGTGATATGGTTTAGTGAAGGGACTGGTTAGTGTTAGGTCAGAGGTTGGATTCAGTGATCTTAAGGTCTATTCCAGCCTAGATGACTCTGTGATCTGCCAAGGAATCTTAAGTCAACCATATCAGAACAGGCAGGTAACTGTTCCACATGAAGAACTCCTCTCCTTCAAAACCCAGGTTGTGCTAGCATTCTAACTTCCCAGATGAGTAGTCACTAAGACAAAGGAAGCAGTGAGAAAGATCTTTATTCCAAAAATTAAACATCCAATCTCAAAACATGGATATTTATTTTACAGAGGCAAGTATGTCATTTACTACTTTGTTGTACGTGAAGGTAATTTAGCTTCAGTCCTCTTCTGCATAAATTCATACTATAAAGAAATTTTTGTCCATCTTTGTCCATTGATGACTCGGAGTTCAAAAAGGTACTAAAATAATGTCACATGAACAGGTTCATCCTTCCTTATTAGCACATTCCTACCAAAACATTTGGTCAATGAATTCATGTAATTTACCTTACTATCAAGTAAGGAATCCAATCTGACACATGGCAGTTGACTACATTTATGCACAGCATTGAACAGTTGAGTTACAATATATCCAGGGTTGGAGCAAGCTGCAAGTGTTACAATGTTCCCCAGCACCCAATCTTACAGCAATCTATGTACAGTGTATATGCAACTAAGCAACATGCATTGTATTTACAGATTTTATACAATATCCCTGCGCACAAATGCAAGCTGAGTACAGAAATAAAAAAGTCAATTAAAGGTTACAAATCAATTATGAAATAGTTAAAATTGAACCCCACAGAGATCTAGAAAAATTCCCCCACATCTGCTCTTTTATCACGACATTTGCTTCTAGCTTTTGTCCGAGCCTTGAATGCAGCAGAATTGTATAAGTGCTACAAGATAAAAAAAAAAAAGAGAAATTAATCACAGACATTCAGAAGTTTGATGCCCCTTACAGATTTTTAAGGCAAAGAAACATTGAAAGTATTTTTTGTATTTTTTTTTTTTTTTTTTTTTTACTTTAATGAATTGGTTGGCTGGCCTTCTGAAACATGCAATATGATCTTTGTACCAAAGGCTGACTTTTAATATGTGTATGCTTGAAGGAAGTTTGGAGTGTAAGGACTAGAAGCATTTCCATAAATTTTAGTCACTCTTGAGCATCATACAGGCACAGAATAGATTAAGTATATTAGTATAAGATTTTCTGAACATCCCCAACCCCAAAATCTAGGGCTGTCTGTCATATGAACTCAAGCATCACATGTATGGAGCATAAATCTGACACCAACTGGCAACCAAATCAACCTTCAGACCTCCCTGGAAGACTGAAGAGGACAGGTGCCTCAATGGAAAAGCCAAAATAAGAGGTCAAAGACATGCAAAGATTTATTCTCACTCAAAACAATGAAGCTTGGTTTAATTTAAAGATGATTATCTTCTGAAGCCCACAGTTTGAATACTATTAGTGTGTTAAGTACAGAAAATATACTGAGATTCAATAACCTACCCTTTCAAAACGGGAGATCTTCATTGTTTTAAGAGCTGCAGCATCGAGCATTACTGGTGGACCAAGCTCAAACACATTCCGAAGAAAATCATTTGACTAAACAAGAGACATATCAAACAGTAAATTTCCCTTCTGATGAAAAGTCACAGATGACTGAGTAAAATACCAGTATTCCACTAAGAAACAGCAGCAACTCAACAGAACTCTTAATTTCTGCAACTGATCCAGGGAACAGTTCCTCCTTATACCTGCATAAGGCCAAGAACTGAAACAGTCCTATCAGGCAAACGCAAAGCCACCCCCCAGTGATTTTGTTTGTTTGTCCCAGCAAGTTACACACTGTCCTGCTATGTCCTTTGCACAAGACTATGCAGCTGGACACAGATCCATATTGTTTCACAACACTAATTTGTTCTATCTGGCTGTAAAAATATTTGAAAAAAAAAAAAAAAGTGTTACATGCCAGCTCCTGCCCCAATCATTTAGAAATGCAATTCACATTGGACCAAAGACTTTAACCCCACAATTATCACATTTGGGAACACTTTGGGAACACACACCCCTACGCTGTAGTTCTGTTCCAATGCATATTGGAAGTGGGAAGAGTAGGGAACAGGCAGTCTCTAACAGATAAGGACAGAGATGGTGGAAGTGGGCAGCTTTACAGCAGCCAGATGACTGCACCACTCTACTGCAAGGGGATTCAGGAGGAGGTGAGGAGGAACACCCTGAAGCTATTTAAATATTCAACTTGAGTCTCATACTTTTCAAAGAAGTCTTTGAACTGCTAACCCAACTCACCCAGACAGTTCTAGCTCGCTGTAGTTCTTCCCCCTCTCTATTTTTAACTCAAGGTATTAGAATAGATCTTGTATCAAGGAGGCATGGCCTTTACTTTGCCGAATTCAAGTAAACATTTAAGTGTTTTTGAACAGTTTTCATTTATGTAACTGTTCTTCTAAAACTTAACACAAAAAACAATTTCATCATGTCCTGCCCATGATTTTGTACCTCATTTTCAGTTGCCACTAAGAAACCTCTAGTTAACAGTCTGAGCATGGATCAAACAGCAGCTCACCTGCAGATGATATTGCATCCCTGACCCCAGAATCTCCTTGAAGGTATCATAAGTTTGTTTTTTAACCCAGCAGTCAATATACATGCGCTCAGGTCCAAATTTTACTGTCTCTGTAGGAAAGTCACGCTCCTGTACAAAATTAAAGGAAAGAACATTTATGATTTTTCAAGTCAGGTGTTCAAGTATATGTACCTAACTCTTTTCTTGAAAGTGACATCAGGAATTGGACTCATCTCCAGGAAAAAAAGCAGTTCTGAGATTGAGTCACCTT